TTAATAAGAAAATATGTGTGTTTGCTTGTTCATTTCAAGTTTGTTATAAAAGGTTTACATTTGCAGTCATAAAGAGCTTTCATTCCTTTTAATCCTAATTCTACAAGCAATCTCTGTTAATTATGACCTGCAAAGGTTTTGACTAGTCATAACTAAAAAATTTTATAATTCAATTGGCCAAAATCATCTGGGGACACTCTAGTTTAAATTGTCTTATATGTTTGTCTGTCTAAATGTTATCTGGTTTTATAGATCAAATAAAAATTAAAAAATAACTAAATATAAACTTTTAAGTTTGGGTACACTCCTGTTGGTAAATGAAGAAGCAGCTGCTCAGAAAATTTATTCTGATCTTTATTCACTAATGGGAGCCCCAAAAATTTTTATAACATTATAGAAAGATGTACCTTGTTAAATATGTTATTGTAACATGTTTATGATGGTTATCTTCAAAACACAATATTTTTTATATAAAGAAATTCATGTTGTTTATGACAATGACCTTTTGATCCAGATATTCTCCCTTCTCTTCTGCTCCACCTACTTATGGTTACAGGTATATTTATAGGCCCATACACTTTCCTTAGATGGTAGCGTATCAAAAGGTAATAATTTAAATATGTTTCCTGGGTTTTTGTTTTTGTCTATATACATATATTTTTAAAAGAAAGATAAATACATTTAACAATGACTATTCTATACTATGATACACATCTAAGTTTGTTACCAAGATGTCATCATGGTTGTCATGCTAGAATATTATCATTATGTGTGGCTCCTGATTACAAGTTTTTCTGTTAACATTCTACAAAAAATTAACTACTTAAACAACCATGATTGATAAAATAATAGCCCTCTAACTATTTTTTAAATTTCAGGATATTTGCTATCTAGATAGTGATGATAGTTAAACTCCTACTGTACTACTGATGTCACTGATCTTCTCTTCTGGGTGTTCAACCACCAAAGTGCAGAGAACAACACTACAAGGTAACTGGGCTAAGGAGATCGCCAATATTTTGGCTCTGGCCCTCCAAGGTCATCAAAGATCCAAGGTATGAAGGAACCTTTTCTACAACATCTTACATCTTTGGTAAGTCACCCAACTTCCTGAACAGGGAGATTGCTGGACACCAGAGGACAAATGTAATGTGTGCTAAAGGAGGGTCACCAAAAAAAATCTTCCATGCTTTTACTAAGAGCACCATGGTCAAACAAGGGCAGGATCCATCCTAACAGCTGACACTGGGAGCTAAGAGGATCTATACATGGTTCCAAAATAATGCCTAAATAATACCTCTCTAACAAGAGGTCCATATTGATTAACACAGGTCTCACTTTAATTTGATCTTAAACACCCAGCAGAAAAGAATAACCAAAAGAGGCAATCAATAAACATGCACTAGTGATAGACTTTTAAGGGCCATTCTCCTCCCAAATATTCCTCTTGATTAAGACACCCACCCCCTGTAAAAGTTATGTGTTAGTACTTTTCCTAGAGGGCCTATGGCCTTCCCTACAAAAACAGAGGGCTTTGGAGGTATACAAGATTTTATTAAAAATTACAAGGTTTGGTCTGCCTCTCTCCATAGACAGTGACAATGGGCCAACATTTATAACAAAGGTTGTACAAGATCTAGCTAAACTATTATACTGCTTATTGACCTGAGTTCTTATATGGTTAAAAAATGATAAATTATACCATTAAGGTAAATATTGTCAAATAACACCAGGTTATGAGTTGATTGGCTCCCTTTGGCCTTCTTTAAAACAAGAGATACCCCAAGTCATACTGGGTTTTCCCCAATGAGGTCTTGTTTGAAAGGCCACCCTGTATCTTGAGAGACTCTATATATGAAAAGGGCTATATATAAGACACTTATGGTTACTCCAGAAAACTCTAGGAGACAATACACTCAAAGCCCTGCTCTGAATTTAAGAAGTCCCTTCCAGGATAGTTTCATTACTTTCGTGTTAAACCATATCTTCATGCTCCTCTCCCAGTCATATCCACAGGACATCATCCACGGGACCTCTGAAGGTCAAACTTAGATTGCTGAAGACCTGTTTGCCCCGGATCCTTCACCATCATCCAGTCCTGAGTCAGATAAGCCAACCTAACTGTTTATCCTCTCATCCTCTCATGGGATATTGTGACACATTTCACACTACAGCACCCATTGATATCCTAAGTCTTCTTATATTATTAGTACTCCCGGGACTTGTCCTTGAGATAGGATTGGCCACAGTATCTCCTCCCAATTATAATTTTACTTCCAGGTGTTTACTCTCATTGACCTATTACCTCATAATCTCATTCTTTGCCATTCTTAATTGCTGGGGACAATAATGATTCCTCCTGCTCCTGTTTTCTCTCCTAAACCTTACCCAAGCCGTTAGGCCCCTGGTGTGTACCTTGACTCGCTCCCAGCCTAACTCAGCTCTCCTTCAGACCCAGGTAGGGTCTCCTAAAATCATGTTCCAGGCCACCTTATGCCAGTTCTTTGAACAAATCATCAAATTCCTGCCGCTCTTCAGACTGGCCCACAACTGATTTCTGCTGCCCTTTCCATATCTACCTATACAGTTGTCCCCTGTGTTCTCCGTCTTATTCAAGCCCAGGTCAGTCACCTCTCCACTCAAGTCTCCCGACAGATGGCTCACCAGCTGATACTTCAGGCCAGAGACCTAAGTGAGACCACCGTGTTACATGACAGCCAACCAACTAACCATAGCTCAGATCTTGGCTCAATTTAAACATTTTCTAAATGATCTTTGGACTGATATTTTCTGGTTTGCTCCCCACCCTCATCCTATTATCTGCAAAGCCAACTGGATCACTAATGCACGGCTCCAAAAAACTTTATCAGACTTCACCCTGACTGAAGTCACAATCTACCTTTTTACCTGTTCTTAGTAACCCTCCAACCCAGTCCACAGCCTCATACAAATTATCTTCTACTCTCTCCTCCCTCAGTAACTGATTTGTGTGCTTGGACTTTTCTCAGAAAGCCCTACCAATAATTCTAGTAAAAATGCTACTGCTGTCAACAATTCCATGTTCATAAAGGACAACTCAGCCAGCCAACCTCCACGCCTGCTCCTAGGTCGACTCGTCACCCCAAACTCAGCAGGAAGTAGTTACAGAAGACAGACACTCTGCCCCCTTCCCCTGGGGTGTGGTTTACACTGGCTGCTGTTTCTCATCTAAAACCAAAGAGTGGGGAATGTTAGGGAATTGATCATGTTAAAGTGTGCTGTGACGCTGCCTCACAGGCTGCATTCTCCTGGTACATCTTGGCTCCTAAAATGACCTCATGCCCTTATCTCTGGTTTCCCTTCCCCAAGGCCACAGCAGTACAGTTCAGAGAAGTTGAAACCTGTTTCTGCAGGGCTGGACCCATAAAAAGCAAGCTGGTCTGTGATAGGTTAAAAGTAGCTCACTCCTCATAAATAAGCAATAGCCCAGCCCAAAACCAATAAAAGGACCTTCCTTTCTTTGTTCTTTCCTTCTGCTTCTTCTTCCTCCTCTCTCTCTCTGCTCTATCTCCCTCCTCCCATCCCTTGAATAAAATCTCCAGTCGGACCTCTCGGGGTGTGTGTGTGTGTGTGTGTGTGGCTTAGTTGTTGAGTGTCACTATTCCCTTTCAACAGGTATGTGCCACTAGGCCCTACTGAGCTTTTCCGTAAAAGGGGTGAGTGAGATGGATGCTAGTCCTCCACTTCTGGCTTCCTGTTCTGCAGCCTGGGAAACAAATCCCTTAGTGAATCATGCAGTTTTCTTTTTCTTTCTTTCTTTCTTTCTTTCTCTCTCTCTCTCTCTCTCTGGTACCAGGGATCAAACTCAGAACCTTGCACTTGTGAGGCAGGTGAGATACCACTGAGCTAGATCCCCAGCTCAGAAATCATGCTGTTTCTGAGCAGTGCCGCAGCATGCATCCTGAGACAATCCTGGGATGGGGATGGGACATGCCACCTTCTGTAGAATTCAACTGCTGTTTCTGGGACTTTCCACACTACAAAGGGGTCTTCAAAAGGGGTTAGGAGACCCTGTAGCCCTTTTAGGTTTATGACCCTTGCCAGCTGCCTATTTTTTTCCTGGCTTTACATTGTCCTCCAAGGATGAAACGCCAAAGCAAATGGTCACTGAGCACTACTATCCCTCAAATTTGAGATCTTTGAACACTTCTCTGTTTTCATATCTCTCATCACTCCATTTCTGAATCCTATGCAACTTCTCTTCCTCTGTATCTACCAGAAATGCCAATCAGGCCAGGTTCTATTCCCAGCACTCTGTACACTCTACCTAGACAATCTGACTCTTCACATTTCAACTACCTTCTATGGAGTATTTATGTTCCTCCTCTTCCTTGTAAATTCTTTTTTTCTTTTTTTTGAGACAGGGTCTCACTATGTAGTTGAGACTGACCTGGAACTCACTGTGTAGCCCAGGCTGGTCTCAAACTCACAGAAATCCTCCTGCCTCAGTCTCCTGTGTGCTGGGATTACAGGTGCGTGCCACCATGCTGGGCTTTAAATTCTTTTGTTTGTTTTGGTTGTTTTTTTAAACCAGGTCCTCCTTGTAAATTCTTATATTAAACCCTAATCCTCATTGTGACGGTATTTAGAGGTGGGACTTTTGGGACATAATTGGGTTTAGATGAAGTTCTAAGAGTAGAGCCCTCTTGATGGAATTAGTATCTTTATAAGAAGAGGATTTTCAGTGATA